CCTCCTGTGGCTACATTACCACACTCCGAATCAGTCTCAAGTAACTCTAATGTCTGAGTGATAGAGTGACACAAGGTCCACAATTTTAGAGGCATAATATCCCCTAACTGGAGAGCTCTAAGCAAAGCTTTTACTACCTGTAACCATTTTTTCCGATTCAGCTGCACTTTAGTCTGATACTGAAACCAGTAACAATGTTATTCAACATGGGCAAACAATCGCTTCAAAGTCTTTTTCTTTCACTTCTACTCCCATAGACAGCAACAGTCCTTGAAACAGCCATAAATATTCTGAGGCCAGAGAGATGGAATTCCCATAATGAAAGCTTAAGAAGGTTCCCCTTAACAATATCTGAGCCTTACCTGCTCCTAGGGGGTTCCCCTTCTTGTTCTCCCCTACTCACCCATGCTGAACCCTGCTCGCTGCGCCACTTGTTGGGGGCCGCACCGGGGGTGGTGGAGAATGAAAGAACACACACAAAGACAAAGACACACAGAGAACATGGCGGCCGCACTCAGAGCCTCCGCCTCACTTTATTTATACTCCATAAACCTCAGGTCAGCAGAAAGAATGCAATGCAAAACAAACTTTCTTTTCCCACATGTAACCTTCTACTCAGTACCTTGTTTCTATATTCTTTCTTATCTACCCGCCTTCTTGGCGCCTACGGGAGTTCATTAAAAGTTCAGTTGGAGATACTGTCCTTGAGCCCTATCTATTCTCAGCATACTGTTTTCAAAGGCCCCTGCAGAGATGGGCGGATTGCTTGAGGCCAGGAGTTCAAGACCAGCCTGGCCAACATGGTGAAACCCCCTCTGTACTAAAAATACAAAAATCAGCTGGGCGTGGTGGCACACACCTGTAATCCCAGCTATTCGGGAGTCTGAGGCACCAGAATCGCTTGCACATGGGAGGCAGAGGTTACAATGAGCTGAGTACCACTGCACTCCAGCCTGGGCAACAGAGCAAGACCCTGCCTCAAAAAAATGAAGAAGAAGAAACTTCTGGGTTACCAGACAGCATTCAAATCCAGCACTTCAGTTACAGTTAGTCTTCAGTTAGTCTTAGTGTCTTAAGAGTTTTTCAAGCTGTTAGTTTGAATTTGGGAGTCATGAACTTTACCTCATACTCCTACTCCACTCTGTAGGAATTTGGGGCCAGTAACCAAAATAAATAGTACAGTTAACCCTATTGATAATATTTAATCTCTGCTTTCTTTTCCCACCTCTATAACTGTGTTGGAAGATTGAATCACATTTCCAACGACCTAAATCCCAAAGGGATTACCTTTGACACAGCCCTGTTGGGGCCTTTCTGAAGCAATCATCTTAGACACCCCAGGGTCTAAGACACCCACTTCATTCTGTTCCAGTCTAGGTTAGGTCACATGCTCAACAGTCAGTATCATAAACTATTGACCAGGATGATCAGGGAAGATAGAGGGCCGCTCATCCTTTGCTTTCTGTCTTCCTCTCTCTTTTTTTCTGTGTCTTCTTCTGCATAGTGTGGCATAAGGCACAGTTGTGTGGGGCTGTAGCATTGGCCATAATACTAATAGAGCTGTGTGACTTGGGCAAATCAAGTCAGTTATCTCAGGTTCCTTCACTTATGTATAGAGAAGAGATTGTACAAGATGACTTCTAAGAAACTAGCTGAGATCTGAATTCAGGTTTCATGTTCAGTCTCTTATTCCCTTTTATTTTCTAGTAGTCTTCCTCCTTTTTCCATTTTTAAACCTCTTCCTGTATCTCTTTGTTATCAACTAAACATATACCTTTCAAAATCTTCCTCATTCTCTGCCTGCCCTTTTCTCCAAACCCATGCCTCAACCAAATTTGGATCCTGAAGATCCCCTTATCCTCAATCTATGATGCCACAGAGAAATATTATCTACCTAGAAATATTTGACTGAAAGAAAAATGTTCTGAAACACTGGTGTGGGAGATGAGGGACAGCATCAGCTATAAATAGACTGAAGAGAGTACATGGATAAATGCCTCTGGATGCAGTCAGAATCAATATGGATTAGCATGTGCAGTGAAGCAAACAGTGTTTGGTTTGTTAGATGAATTTCACTCAAAAAGAAAGTTTTCTGGGAGAATATCACACTGTTTTATATCATTGACTGAGGACATAGCTGCTGTGGGTAAATGAGGTGAGAGGCCAGAGTGTGGTCTGCTGTACCTTACCTCTCTATACACTGAGTTTCTAGCTCTCTGGAGTGGCCCCCATAGCCTCTGGAAGAACCATTGTCAAGTAACATGGAGAAAGTAGAGGATCTATCTTCTGTCATTCTACCTTTATCTCAATTCTAGCTACTTGGGGAGCACTGTGTCCTCTCTTTGAGGGCCTTCTGTAAGGGACAATGTCAAGCAGAAAAAAAATCATTTGTGTACTTCTCTGTTTTCCTTTTCTCGAGACTTGCTTTCTTTCTAGAGGCATTAAGATAGTAGAGCATGGGTTAGTTGTTGGAGAGACCTGAGTTTATATCCCAGCTCTGCTACTTGCTGTCCTCTTGGACACTTTATCTAACTTCTCTAAACTTTTTTTTTCTACTGTAAACTGAGAATTCATAGTAGATGTGTAGTAGTTTGTTGTATAATAGGCATTCAGAGAAGTAGCTTGCCTCTCAAACAGCCAATGCTCCATTCATTCTCCAGCTTGGAGTACTGCCTTAACCACTCTGTTTGACCTCTAGGGAAGCTTGAGCTTCCCACATTATTTTGGCTTGAATGTGGACAAACTCTTTTCACTTTAGTTCACTAACATGAAGCTGGGATTTTTTATTTTAAAGAAACTTAATAAGAAAATGAAAGAATCAAAACCAAAGGAATGAATAAATCATGGAAACAATTTATACAGCAGATATTTCTTTCTTTTTTTAAAAAAAAATAGACATAGGGTCTTGCTATATTGACCAGGCTGGCTTCCATCTCCTGGGCGCAAGTGATCCTCCTGCCCCAGCCTCCTGAGTAGCTGGGATTATAGATGTGAGCCACTGTGCCCAGCTAGACCACCTTTTTGTTTTTTAACTTTTTGTTTTTAAAAAATCCAAACTTACCAGAAAGTTGCGGAGTAGTACACACCCATCCATCTCTTGTTCCGTTTTCATTTGCAGAGTAGAGATGATGGTCACTCCCTGAGCACCCTGAACCATCAAGTCGCCTTCCTCGCGTAACTTCACCTAGGTGTTAAGCCCATTCGCCCAGGTTGCTCTCTATCACACCCTATTCAGGCGCCAGCTTTCCCCTCACTAGTGAGGTGGTTAACCACAGAAATGTGCTTTCCACATGCATACAGAAAATCATTTTGTCACACCCTGTGTGTGACAAACTGAAGTAACTGCCACTCTGAAGTAACTGCCCTCTTCTCCAACCCTTTGGTGACTCCCCCTTGAGGTCTCAGGTGCCTTTTACTCTGCTCTGTGTGTCATGTGTTCTGACCGTGCTGAGGTCGCTGCACCCTCTGCATCTCCATGTGGGTTTTTCACTGGACATACCCTCTGCTGGTTCCTGTGTGACCTACTGTGGGCTTCTCTAGCTACTCAGTTGACATGCCCTCTACCCCTGCTGAGCTCCAGTCCCTGGGTGACATGGCAGTCTCTTGAACCTATATGGAAAAACATCCTTCTGCTATATTAAGATCACTGCAACCTTAGAAAACAGCCTTTCTGGCGGTAGCCTCTTAGCTAGCATTGTGTAGGCTCTGCTGTTTTGCTTCAGATGCTGACCTGGTCTGAGCTGGTGCTCCACACTTTGCTTCTGACCAGTTGGCTCTGCTCCAGTGACTGGCCTAACAAGTTCCTGCCTATCACCCACTCAGTTGCTTTGCTGACTGTTCTCAGGGAATATTTCTTTGCAGTTGGAGATCTTGTAACCTCATTTGGCTTGATATCTGGCTTCTCCAAAGGGCTGTGGAAATGTCCCTGGCTAGCAGCTATGACGTGAGAGACAGACCACCTATGAGGCTTCAGGGATTTCACATGCCTTCCGTAGGGGCTTTGCAGAGGGCCCAAACTTTCTAGAAGGGGTCCAGGGATCCAAAGGGATCTTTTTCTCTGGGGCAAGACATTGGCATTATTTTGTTAGAAGCATCCTCAGAAAGCCAGAAAAGTATTTCCTGAATGGGAGCATATCCTTTCATGCCTCTGTCTTCAGGGCTGGCCCTTTGCAGCCACATTGCCACTCCAGTGGGCCAGCCACATGGGAGAGGCATGGGGTGGGGAGGCCGTTGGGTCTTTTCTCATTTCCAGTTTGAGAGTGAATTGTTGGTCTAGGGAGCCTGCTTCTAATAGTTACAGAAGAGTTTGGATCTTTCTCTCAATAGGAGACAGTGTTTTATGATGTTAAGAGCTCAGGCTCTGGAATAAGATGGGCCTAACTTTGAACCTTGACCCTGCTACTTCCTAGCATTTATCCTAAAATGGAGATAAAATTACTAGCTCTGTGTACAGAAATTTTATAACTTTTTTGTGCTTCAGTTTTCTCAATTGAAAATGGAAATAATAGTAATGCTTCATGAGGTTGTTAAATATTCAGTCAGCTAATACATCTAAAGCACTTAAAACAGTGTCTGATACATAGGAAGTATTCAATCAGTGTAAGTGGTTGCTATTATTACCTGACCATTTGAGTTGTGAGGATTATGTGAAGTAATCTATTTGAAGTATATATCACAAGGCCTATATAACCCCAATGTTAACTTAAAAATGTACATATATGTGTGTGTGTGTGTGTGTGTGTGTGTGTATATACACCTCCACACAACTCAGAGGCAGTGGCTTCCTGGCTTCTAGTGTAACATAAATTAAACATTTGTTCAGAGAAAGGGCAGGACTGGGTGGAGGATACCTCCCTTCTGTCTGGGAAATAAAGGATACAGACAAGTTCCAGCTAGGGGTGGGGCTGCCTGCATAATGGCAGAAGCTGACAGAGATGCCCATCCTGTGCTTACTGACATGAACCTAAGTTTGTACTGATGCCAGTTCCTCCTCTTTATAGGTTTCACAAGCTGATCTGGGGGAGCTTTGGCAGTGGGCTTCTGGAAAGCTCCGGGGTTATTGCAGGCGGCGGGGACAATGGCATGCTTATTCTATACAATGTGACCCACATCCTGTCTTCGGGGAAGGAGCCTGTGATTGCCCAGAAACAGAAGCACTCGGGGGCTGTCAGAGCCCTCGACTTTAATCCTTTCCAGGTACTACAGGTACTACATTTCGGTTAGTCAAACATGGCCAAGCCAGGGAGCAACAGATCTGAGTGGAAGCATTCACATGTGGCCTCCGGTCTGTAACTCTGATCCCTTTCCAGGCTGTTTCAGGGGAGGCTTTTGATAGCCCCAAATTTGGGCTTCTTTCCTCCTTTCTTGCTCTACTTTTTCCTAGGGTGGTGTGTCTCCAAACACCTTTTATTCATACAGGGCAACCTCTTGGCTTCAGGGGCCAGCGATTCTGAAGTCTTCATTTGGGATCTGAATAACTTGAATGTGCCAATGACCCTGGGATCCAAGTCACAGGTGAGCAGCACCCCCACCACCCAACCCTGGCTGCTGCTTAGAGTGTGCAGCTGATTTTCCTAGGTAAAGTCTTGTGTTCTGGAGCCAGTTGGAGCGCACGAGATTTCAAGCTTTACCACTGGAGGGCAATAAAGCTCCATAGACTAACATGCTACCAGCCAGATAAGAGCTAGGATGGCTGGTGGGTGGAGGGTGTATATGGGGTGTTTGGTTTGTGCTCATTACTTGTTCTAGGAGTTTCTGGGAGGCAGATGAAAGGTGAGGAGAGCAAAAGATACCACAAGAAAGGATGGGAGTGCTGTCAGCTTTCGCAGAGTTGGGTAGGGCATTGGGCCCAGCAAAGACGGAGCAAGAGTAGGTCCCCAGACATACCATTGTCCTTTTTATGGGGAGGGTCAGCTTTATTCTCCCTGTATGTGGCTCTCCCATGCAGTTGGGGGGTCTGGTCTTGTGTCTTGGAGAGCCTGTCTGTCAATCTGTAACTGGGTCCATCTTTTTGCTTCCTGGCCTTTTCTCTGTCTTGTGCTTACAGTATAGTGAGGTAAGTTGTTTCAATTTGATAACATCTTACGGTTTTTCTCTCGGCCTCACGCTCTCTGGGGGTCTTGGATATCTATGTTTTCCTCTCTCCCTCATCTTCCTCCTTCTCTCCCTCTCTTTTTGTCCTAGACAAGAGGGCTGTTTTTTAAAATCTTGACTCTATCCTCTTAGTAAAACCTTGGGTAGGAGTAAAACTTAGATGTGCCTTCCATCCCTTCTGCTTCTACACTGATACCCTAAAGGATCCTCCCTGGAAAATTCAACTCCCAGCTTCCCAACACTGTCTTAGTTTGGGTAGCCCCATGTCTATTCTTGGACTTGCTGTGGGTGGCTGGGAGCAGTGGAACAGCAGATGTCACTTTGTCCAGTGGGTGACAAGTTGTCATCTTTCTGTCCCCATCCTGCCTTAGCAGCCCCCAGAGGACATCAAGGCACTGTCTTGGAACCGGCAAGCCCAACACATTCTGTCTTCTGCTCACCCCAGTGGCAAGGCAGTTGTGTGGGATCTCAGGAAGAATGAACCTATCATCAAAGTCAGTGATCACAGCAATAGGGTGAGTAGTGGAGGCCAGAACACAGGCTTGGGCTCTGGCTTCTCTCTCCTGCCTAGCAGTTAGAGCTGCTCTGCCCCAGGCCAGAGTCCTGCTTTCAGCTGTCAGACATGTGGAGTCAGCCACTTAGCACATTTCCTATTGAGAGTGAAAACTTAGGGAAGCTAAACAAAGCTGATCTGGAAGCTTCTACCGTTCCTTACTTATTCCTGGCCATCACTCTCTGATGCCTGTGGTGTCCCAGTCACAGAAGAGACACAAAACTTGCTCTCAGAGTGGTCCCATTTCAACTGGGCAAAAGAGTCAGGTTACAGCACCCATCGGGATATGCTTTGTTCGCAGATGCACTGCTCAGGCCTGGCCTGGCATCCTGACATAGCCACCCAGTTAGTGCTGTGCTCAGAGGATGATCGTCTTCCTGTGATTCAGCTGTGGGACTTGCGCTTTGCCTCCTCGCCCCTGAAGGTGCTGGAGAACCACAACAGGTAGCATCTCAGACGTCATCCATATCCTTGAGGGGATGGTGGACATAACTGGCTTGGGTAGAAGGCAATGTATGCCTCACTTTAGCTACTAAACATCCTTCCTGGCTTTAAAGCCATTCCGGTGAACATATAGTCACCCAATACTAACTAGAGCCCTAACTAAGAGGAGGCCCGTAGACCCTGAGGTTATGGAGAGGAGGCTGAGATTCCATCTAAATTCCAAAGATGGGAATGGGGTCATGAGAAATACTGGAACCAGTGTTTAGTCTCCAGGCTCTGGTATGAGGCTAACGTCATTTCCTTAGGTGATGAGCTTTCCTTCTCCAGGATTTCTTCATAAAAATAACTTGACTCCTATCCTGTGAACAGTCCTCCACAATCTGTTCTTTCTTTTCTTTTCCTTTTTTTTTTTTTTTTTTTGAGACGGAGTCTTGCTCTGTCCCCAAGGCTGGAGTGCAGTGGCGTGATCTCAGCTTACCGCAACCTCCGCTCACGGGTTCGTGCCTTTCTCCTGCCTCAGCCTCCCAAGTAGCTGGGACTACAGGCGCCCGCCACTAAAGCTGGCTAATTTTTTTTGTATTTTTATTAGAGACAGGGTTTCACCATGTTAGCCACGATGGTCTCAAACTCCTGACCTCGTGATCCGGCCGCCTCAGCCTCCCAAAGTGCTGGGATTACAGGCGTGAGCCATCGCGCCCAGCCCCACAATCTGTTCTTTCTAACCAAAGGACCATGCTGCCTTTATATATCCTTGGGGACTTCTATGTTTTTAGACCAGTTCTTGCTCTATCACCCAGGCTGGTGTGCAGTGGCGTGATCAAGGTTTGCTGTGACCCCAATTTCCTGGGCTCAAGTGATCCTCCCCCCTCAGCCTCCCAAAGTGTTGGGATTACAGGCATGAGCCACTGTGCCTGGCCTCCTTGGGGACTTTTGATGGTTAGGTCTTTACTACCTCCTGGGCTGAAAACGCTCATAGGGATGAGTGTTTGTGTGATTCATAGTGGTTCATAATCTCTACTCTCTAATTAGTGAAAAGAAGCAGGCCATCCCGCAGTGATCTAAGAAAGGCAGAGTGGTGCAGTGCATAGTGCACAGGCTCTGAGGTTTGATTTGGGTTCTGACTCTGTAACTGTTGGAAAGTTACTTAATTTTTCAAAACCTCATTTTCTTAATTTGTAAGATAATATCAGACCATGCATGTTATAGGGCATGGATGGTCTGATATGCCCTATAAAATGTATCAAAGACGTATAAGGCAGCCTACTCATAGTAGGCATTCAACAAATGCTAGATCCTCTTTCCCTACCTTTTTAGGGGGATCTTGTCAGTGTCATGGAGCCAGGCTGATGCTGAACTGCTGCTCACTAGTGCTAAGGACAGCCAGATCTTGTGCTCGAACGTGGAGAGCAGTGAGGTAGGCTGGCCCTTCTGTGGGCATGCTGGGATGGGAGAGAGAGGGTAGAAGAATCTCAGCCGCAGCCATGTGTTTTGGGTGTCATGGACTGTCCCAAATGGTGTGTGTTCCCTAATATTAGGTGGTATATAAGCTACCAACACAGAGCAGCTGGTGCTTTGAAGTGCAGTGGTGCCCTCGGGACCCTTCAGTGTTCTCTGCCGCCTCCTTTGACGGCTGGATCAGTTTGTACTCTGTGATGGGTAGGAGCTGGGAAGTCCAGCACATGAGACTGGCTGACAAGGTTTGAAGGGCTTGGGAGAGAATGCTGGAGGGAAGGGGCTGTCTCTGTTTGTGGGAGAGAGACATATGGCCTGAGAAGCAGGGACTATTGGAGATTGGGAGAACAGGGCCCAGGGTTTGGGAGGACTGCACCTTTGCTCTGGTGCCCATCTTCCTGAAAGGATGTCAGTTTCTGCCACAGTGTGAAGAAGGCCTTCACCTTGACTCTTGTTATTGGATGGGCCCTGTAATATTTCAGGGACAGTGGGACCCCTTTGCTGGGACAGTTATTTCAAGAGTATGACACTTATCTTTCTCCTATAGATCCATTTTGTGCCACACTCCATTGTAGACTTTGAATGTAGTAGTCTTTCCAAGAGCCTACTTGCATGAGAGTCCCACCCTCACTACTACTTACTTCCCCATCCTTTGGAATGTGGGAGTCTGACCTTTCTAGGTCAAATTGGGTGTCTCAAGGATTCCTCTCAAAATGGAGTTTGTAGGTGGAGGGCCTGACTAAACTGCCACTTTGGGATGGTGATGCAGGTGTCTTTTCCCCCCAGATCTCCTCTTCCTTCAGCAAAGGCCAGCCTCTCCCACCACTGCAGGTGCCAGAGCAAGTGGCACAAGCATCACTGATACCTCCCCTGAAAAAACCCCCCAAATGGATTAGAAGACCAACAGGTGTTTCATTTGCTGTAAGTGTAATGGATGTATAGGTGTGTGTGTGTGTGTGTGTGTGTGTGTGTGTGTAGCCTACCATGTGCCCAGCATGGAGCTAAGTTTTGTAGGAGACGTATTCCCACTGCCTCTGTCTCAGAATGGATCCCACTTTACCTCTCAAGGAGAAAGTTACTATAGTTTCCCTCTCTTCACTTCACCCATTCTGTATTTTCTGCCAGTCCTGTCTAAAAGGAGTTGACTGCCTTAGAACTCTCGGCTGTGGAGAAATAGCCTGAGATTCCATCTCAGTTTTCTCTAACCCTTACATATCTGGACTGGTAGTAAGGAACTACAAAGAAGGAAAGAAAAAACAGATTTTATTCTGTCATTTATCTGTTCAAAACCTTTGAGCCTCCCATTGCTTTATAGACAAGGCTAAATGTGCACAGGGCTCCACTTACCTTTCCATTTCCATCTCATTCTCGTTTGTTCTCTATGCTCCAGTTACATATGACTCCTTTCTGTTTTGTAAATAATTCCTCAACTCTTCCTGCCTCTGCTTGTATCCTAACCTTCAGCTTCTCTCCTGGGTCCACTGAATGCTACCACAGCCTTTCAAGGCCCCTCTCTTAAATACTGTCTCCTCCTTGATGCATGTCTGTAACCCAAGTCAAAATTAACCTCTCTCTATAATCCCACAGACTTATACTTTGGTAATGATACGTTCTAACTATACTAAAGTTATTTATATACATATATGCATATTACCCTACTAAGCAATAGACTCCTTAAGGGTAGGGACTATGTCTTGCTGATTTTTATATCCCCAAAGCGGTGCTTCACAAACTCTTAATGTGCATCCACATCACTTGGGGATCTTATTAAAATTCAGAAACTGGTTCATTGAGTCGGGAGTAAGGCCCAAGATTGTGATTCTTCAGCAAGCTCCCAGTTGATGCCCTTGCAGCTGGTCTGAGGACTAGCACTTTGAATGGCAAGGCCCTGAAGCACTTGGGACAGTGTTTAAATATTAGGTTTGAATTGAAAACAGATGTATAAAAGTAGAAGTTCTTGTTTTCAAAGCCAACAGTTTTATTGGGGAGGCAAGACTAACACATTCAATAGGCTGTGAGCTTAAAAAGAAAAAGAAGTGGGGAGGTAAAGAATTCTGAGGTCAAGAGGCCTGAATTCTTATCATAGCTCTGTCATTTATTAGCTAGGTAACCTTGAACAATTCATTTAACCTCTCAGGACTTAACTGTTCTTATCGGTAAAACAGGGATAGTGATGCCTGCCTAGAAAATTAACATGAACCACAAATAAGAATATATGTACACACTTTGTAAAACGAGCAAGTCCTATACAAATCAAAAGTTAAAATGGTTTTGCTTAGCACTAATCTGTGGTGTAGATTTTGTGCTGCAGAAGTCAAGGTAAATAATTCTGACTGGGCGAGTTCATTAGGAGGTGGATATTGGGCAAAGAAACGGTGAATAGTTAGGGAGTAAAGCAATAGTTAACAACCCCAAATAATCTGTACAACAAACCCCCATGACACAAGTTTACCATGTAAGAAACATGCACATTTACTGCATTGGATTGAAATTTTTTTTTTAACCCAAAGTAAAAGTTAAAAAAAAAAAAAAAAAAGTTATCGACCAGGCGCTGTGGCTTACTCTTGTAATCCCAGCACTTTAGGAGGCTGAGACGGGTGGATCACCTGAGGTCGGGAGTTTGAGACCAGCCTGACCAACATGGAGAAACCCTGTCTCTACTAAAAATACAAAAGTAGCTGGACGTGGTGGCACATGCCTATAATCCCAGCTGCTTGGGAGGCTGAGGCAGGAGAATCGAGTGAATCCGGGAAGCAGAGGTTGCGGTGAGCTGAGATTGCGCCATTGCACTCCAGCCTAGGCATCAAGAGCGAAACTCCATCTCAAAAAAAAAAGGTTGTCAACCTTGGATACACATTGGAATAACCTGAATAATTCAAAAAATACTGATGCCTAGTCCCACCCCCAGAGTTTCTGATTGTATTGTCTGGGGTATGGCCTGGCAAGTCTGGATTGTTCTCCACGTGGTTTTAATATGCAGCCAATGTTGAGAACTGCTAGAGTAAAAAGGGTTTTTCTAAGGTCCTGTTTGTGCCAGATGCTTTATATAAGGCATCTAATTTGGTGAGAAGGATACTCTAGGTGGGGATGTTGTGGGTAAAGGCACAGAAGCAGGAACACATCAGGCATTTTAGGGATGTGGAGGAATGTAATAAACAAGCAGGGGGAGAGATGCTGGGAAAGATAGGTTTGGCCCTGATTTTGCAGAAGTTTGTGCGCTGCAGGCAAGGGAACTTAAGCTCTTTTCTGTGGCCTTGTGTAACCACACAAGCTCCTGAATAGCAGCAGGGTGGTACAAGCAATAGGGGGATAGTCTAAGGAGGGAAAAGAACAGAAGGCTTTTAGTAATCTGGGTGTACTAGCACTGGAAATGGGATGGAGGGCACCTGCATGAATGACAGTGAACAAGAAGAGGTAGAACCTTGTCGTTGCTTGAGTATAAGGGGTATGAAGATTTTGCTGATGCTGAGGTATTTAGCCCAGGTGACTGGGAGAATGATGGTACCAGGACAGGTTAGCAGAAGGTGAGTACTGTGTGGTTAAGTTTGAAGCGGGTGGTCCTAAGAGTACAGAAGTGGTTTTGGTAGGGAGACGCATTCAATACTAAATTACTGATCCTATTCCACCCCCGCCAGGAACTCTCTTATTTTATTGATTTCCTAGCCTAGGGTCAGCCATTAGATAGCTTTCTCTGTGAACCTGACTTAGTGTTACTTTTTGGCTTGAAGGTATAACCTTTACCCTTCTTGCTTTTCCTCACCAGTTTGGAGGGAAGCTGGTTACTTTTGGCCTCCCCAGCACAAGGCTGGTGCCACAGCCTTGCCCCCGCCTAGTCTTCATCAGTCAAGTCACCACAGAATCTGAATTCCTGATGCGATCAACTGAGCTGCGGGAGGCCCTGGAATCAGGAAATCTACTGAATTACTGTCAGAACAAGAGCCAGCAAGCTTTACTGCAAAGTGAGAAGATGCTGTGGCAGTTCCTGAAGGTAGGAAGCCTTAAGACTAGCTGCTCAGAAGTGTCTCCCCAAAGCCTGGAACTCCAACCTGTGTCAACTGCAGGAGAGGCACAAGCACACTGATTACAGAGGCCTTAACTCCCATTAGTTTTTTCCTCACACTGTACCTACCACTGGGACACAAAACCTTCACTCTTTACCGGAGGCTCAAAGGCCATTTGGGAAGTGGCTAGGAAAGATGGGGAATACACGAGATGTTTTCCTTTATTGCTACTATTGCTGGTGTTCTAGGTACTTTATCAGAGCCAAGGCAAAGACCTTCATGGTATCATGCCAAAGGGCAGGTAAGGTAATGGGAAAGAAGAAAAAGGAGGAAAGAGAAAAAGAAGAGAAAGGAAGATTAGTTAGAAGGACACATTGTCATAAGAAGGCTTTGAGTTGGTTTCAAGTAACCCAAGGCAAGTCCTTGAAGTGGGTCCTAGGGTTCAGGTGCCACTCTACGCTGGAGGCGTGGGTTCAGTTCCAGTTCTCATTTAATTTCAAGTTTCCTACGACACCAGGAGGAGCGCTATACCTATCAAAGGAAATGAGCAAGTGAGAGATCTGAAGGAAGAAACGGAAATAGCTGACTGGTCAGTCAGTGGGATGATTGTGCAAATTTTTGGAATTGTATAGAAGAAAGCAAAAAGGATTGGGCCTGTACCAGGGCATCTGAGAGGGACTTGAAATTTGAGCTTTAGGCATAGCAGAACTATATGAAGGTGGACATCAGGAAGTTAGGAAAGAGAAAGAGTATTTGAGAAAGATCTTGACTATATAGTGAAGCTAGAGAATGATGTGGGAAGAAAAGAAAAAGAAGTGATGCTTTTGTTGTAAGCAGGGTATAAGTTCCAGGAATGGTGAGATGGGAAAGAGAGGGAGTGGTCAGGAGTTCAACCTTTATTCTGCTAAACAAAGGAGAGAGTGGTACCTATAGGACAGAGGGACCTATAAGACAGGGCATTCTGGGTGTTTTTGTTTTTGTTTTTGTTTTTTTGAGACAGAGTTTCACTCTTATCACTCAGGCTGGAGTGCAATGGTACAATCTTGGCTTACTGCAACCTCTGCCTCCCGGGTTCAAGCAATTCTCCTGCCTCAGCCTCCCAAATAGCTGGGATTACAGGCACCTGCCACCATGCCCCTCTAATTTTTGTATTTTTAGTAGAGACGGGGTTTCACCATGTTGGCCAGGCTAGTATCGAACTCCTTAACTCAGGTGATCAGCCCACCTCAGCCTCCCAAAGTGCTGGATTATAGGCGTGAGCCACTGCTCCCAGCCAGGCATTCTGGTTTAAAAGCTACCCAGGAGCTGTCCATCCTGATGGTTCCTGGTTGGGTGTGGTGAACATTTCTAAGGAAGGGCATGGAAGGAGAAGGGTGCCCAGAGAGACTGTGAGAAAGGTATGGTTAGAAATCATGGTTCAGTGTGGAATAAATTAAGGGCCTGGGATAGCTAACCAAGATTGCAGGGGCTTCAGAAAGGCTTGCTCCTTGGTATTTGGGAGATTGAATGGGAAGCTGACTTTGTTTACTGTATCCGTGCAACTTCTACCAGAGGTCTTCTCAAAGAAACATTTAGACTCACAAGACTACTGTAGGCTACACTTGGCAGCAGCCTCCTCGGAAGGATATGGGATGGGGACTGCAGCAGGGCAGCATCAGGCGGGTGTCTTCTGGGGGAGTCCTTTCAGCAGTCATGCAGTAATTCTGAGTTCTCTTCTTCCGTCCCCCAGAGATAGCTCAGGTGCAAGGAGTGAAAATATACATCAGGCAGGTATGTAAGTTGCCCTGACTTAGAAGCTTCTTGCCCACAAGAGCCAATATGTCTTGTACTAATTCTAAAAGCATAGCTTCCAGAGTCCCTGCAAGGAATCTGTCCAGTTACAAGAGCCACTGCAATCAGGGAAACACATAGCATGTTGTCCACATTAATTTTTTTTTTTTTTTTTTTTTTTTTTTTGAGACGGAGTCTCGCTCTGTCACCCAGGCTGGAGTGCTCTGGCTGGATCTCGGCTCACTGCAAGCTCCGCCTCCGGGTTTACGCCATTCTCCTGCCTCAGCCTCCCGAGTAGCTGGGACTACAGATGCCCGCCACCTTGCCCAGCTAGTTTTTTGTATTTTTTAGTAGAGACGGGGTTTCACCGTGTTAGCCAGGATGGTCTTGATCTCCTGACCTCGTGATCCGCCCGTCTCGGCCTCCCAAAGTGCTGGGATTACAGGCTTGAGCCACCGCGCCCGGCCACATTAATTATTTCTAGATTACATAGTTCTAGTCCAGATGCAAGTTATCAATCACAGGCATATTGCCTAGGAACAGCTGATATTTTACTCTCACCAGACTACCAGGGTAATAGAGCTAGGAAGACAATGAAAGGTCAAATTCTCATGCGCAAGGGGCAGGGGCCTATGTTAACACTGCCCATAGCCCATCAGTAAGTTAGATCCGGGGGGAAAAGGGAAAGATGGCATTGGACTGCTGAGGGCACTTCTAGTAGTACAAAGAACTATATTTGGAGGTATATTGGCACAGATGCCCAGCTTCGTGTAGGAAGAGCATCATTTATATTCATTTAATGGAATCTTTTCTGTGTTCTATGGTTTCTTAGGTGACCTTAGAGCAAGACTCCAGAATGAAATTCCTAAAGCTTTTAGGATACAGTAAAGATGAGCTTCAGAAGAAGGTAAGCTGCTTTTCACATCAGAAACATGTACTTGTTGAAGAGAATGTTGCCAGACTAAACCATCTCAGAATACCTCTTCCTGGCCTTATTGCATATGTGAGCATTTAACATCCTGGAGTTTGTTTTTTTCTCAGAAAAAATAGATCAGGGATCTTAGAGAGTCCGGTCGGTGGGGTATGGTGGCAGGAAAAGAGGATAATGCTTATTTGATCTTTCGCTGGAAAGGGCTGTTTTCATAGGTCTCTCCCTGCAGGTGGCCACATGGTTGAAGAGTGACATGGGGCTAGGCGAGGGTCCTCAGCCCAAAGGAAATGACCTCAACAGTGACAGACAGCAGGCCTTCTGCAGTCAGGTGTGGTAGGAGCCCAGTCAGCCTGACCTAGGGTTACACAGGAAACCTGCCTTTCGGGTGTCTTTCCCTTCCTGGCCCTTTTCATTGCTCTCTGTAAGTGCTTAGCATTTGTACAAGTCTTCAGACTCCTCACTCTCTTAGAACCAGAGTGAGACACAGAGTCCCTAAGCTTTTGGGCTGGAAGTGGAGAGCTGTGTCTTAACCGTGAACTATGGCCCTTCCCAAACCTTACCTGGCTATATTTTTAGTTTTACTCATTAACGACCAAATAGTAGAACTCTCAGAGCTACTATGCCAGGTCTCTGTCTGTCTTCTGGGTTCATCCCTAGGTAGTCACCTCTGTCCTTCATCATACAGGCCTCCAAACACACCACAAAGGAAGCCTCTGCTTCCTCAGCCTTCTTTGATGAGCTGGTACCTCAGAACATGACTCCTTGGGAGATCCCCATCACAGAAGGTACCCTGACCCTGAGGGAGAGAGTCTCTGCTTAGGACTAGGTGGGCCCGGAGGTTTTGGACTTGAGAGAGTCCCTTCTTGTCCCCTGCCTCATGTCTTCCTCCCACCATCTCAAATGCTGAGTGAGTCGCCTACCAGTTAGAGCTCTCTCTGGCTGTAGATTTTCATGGATAGGTCCTTCCTATGGAAGGCCTTCTACCAACAGATTTTCTTCTATCCTTCTTGCTGAAAGGACTGTGGCCCTGCCCACTGTGATCAAGCACACCTCACACTGTGCTACTGCCGCATCAGTTCCCTCCCTTGTCTTGGGCCCTGTCTTTAGACCTGGGCACCAAAATACATTTTATTGCCAAGGAATGAAGCTTGAGGGTTTAGTTTGGAGCCAAACACGCTGAGTGATATAGAGATATAGAGGGTGTGCTGTGGGCCCTGCAGGGGGCAGGAAGCTAGGGTTTGAGAGCAACTAATGCAGAGGGGATGCTTCTGCCTGCAGATGTTGATGGACTCCTAAGCCAGGCTCTCCTGCTTGGGGAACTGGGTCCGGCTGTGAAGCTGTGTCTAAAGGAGGAGCGCTTTGCTGATGCCATTATCCTGGCCCAGGCCGGGGGTGCAGATCTGCTGAAGCAAACACAGGAGTGCTACTTGGCCAAGAAGAAAACCAAAATCTCCTCGGTAACTGCCCGTCGTGCAGGAGAGGAAGGGAGGGGATTACTTGGACCTTGTGAGGTGGATACCCACACCTTGGGACCTGTGTTTGAGTATCTGCCTGCCTCTCTCTACTCTACCACCCCCACCTCACCCTTGCCCCTACTCAGTGCTCTAACAGGAGGCCTGTGCAGGACTCCTGCTGCCTATGCTGGATGGATGGCTGATGGCCTCTTTCCCTCTCTGCCTATTACAGCTTCTAGCCTGTGTTGTGCAAAAGAATTGGAAGGATGTGGTGTGTACCTGTAGCCTGAAGAACTGGAGAGAGGCACTGGCTTTGCTACTGACATACTCAAGCACAGAGAAATTCCCTGAGCTCTGTGGTAGGTGTGGTCCCAGGCTTCAGGATGAAATGGTGTGACTCCAGCATGGATCAAAGGATGCATGCAGGAGGGAGGTGGAGGAGCAGTTGAGCTCTGGGAGGCCAGGCAATGTTGTCAGGGCTAGAATCTGGCTCAGCCAGGAGGCAGGGACCACAGCGCATGCCCCTACTTTCAGAGGGGATCCTTTGTTGTCCTGGTTTACTTTGTCTTGTCACACCATGATGTGAGAACTTTCCCCTTCTCTGTACAGCAAGGTGAGTCTCAGTGTTGTCTTAAAGCCACTGCAGCTACTTGTCCCAAGCTCATGGTCCTCTCACTGTTTCCAAACAGGAGAAGGAGAGGCACACAGGCCAGCTGTGCCATTAATGAAATTTCCCTCTCTCTGCAGACATGCTGGGAACTCGCATGGAACAGGAGGGCGGCAGGGCACTAACCTCTGAAGCCAGACTCTGTTATGTGTGCTCAGGGAGTGTGGAGCGGCTGGTGGAGTGCTGGGCAAAATGCCATCAGGCTTTGTCCCCCATGGCTCTGCAGGTACCCCTTCTCTGCAGGGTACTGGCCACTCCATACCAGGCCCTTAGGAAGCTAGTGGTGGAGATGTGCAGAACTAGCAGAGGTGGATCCTCTGGGACAGGCTGGAACCACGGCGTTAGGGAGGAGCGAAGGGTCCTGAATGTCTGGGATCTTCTCCTCTTCCCTCAGAGGAGACTAAGCAGCAGCTGCTTCAGTGTTAGTCTTTATAATTTTTTTCCTATTTCAGGTTTGGTTTTACAGATGTATTCAGTATTTGAGTAATTGTGACTTGGGCCTTCTATTAGATACTGTAGAAAACTCTGTGGATCTAAACTGCCAGGTGTTCTGTAAGTGACCACAGAAAGTGGGGGTCACAGACTCATGGAGAGATAAAAGTCGCACCTGAAACAGTTAGTATAACAGAGTCTGTGGTTGGTGATGTATAAGCAGAAAGGGTAAAAAAGCAAAAGGAAGAGGTAGAGATGTACCAAAATCTAAGACCACATGGGTCCAGTTAAATCCAATCCTAACAGCTTGGGAGGTGAGGCCAAGTGACCCTTCTCTGTCACGGTTCTTACATGTCATCATCTGCTGCCTTCACCTAGGTATGGCCAGGTGCCCTCATCTCTACCCATAGTAGGAGATCCCTGAATGAGCTACCTGGACTTAGAGAGCAGGATATGCTTCAATGAAGGCTTACCACCCTCATCCTTGTCCTTACAGGACCTGATGGAGAAGGTGATGGTTCTTAACAGGAGCTTGGAGCTACTGCAGGGTCCTCATGGGGTGAGCCCAGGCCCTGCCACAACCTACAGGGTCACTCAGTATGCCAACCTCCTGGCAGCCCAGGGCAGCCTAGCCACTGCCATGAGCTTTCTACCCAGTGACTGTGCTCAGGTAAGTGGGGCCGTGTGGAGAGAGCAAACCTTTCCATTCAGTCATCTAACATTGAGCACTTCTGTGTTCCAGGCACTATGCTAATGCTGAAGCTTCTAGGATAGATAAGATGGAATCCCTTAAGCACCTCACAATCTACTGGGGGAAGATCAGATGTTGATGACTTATAGCGCCATAACAGAAGCTTATACTGAGCACTGTGGGAGTCCAGGGAAGGGACTGATTTTTGCCTGGAGAAGTCAAGGAAGGCTTCCCAATGGTTAAAACAGCTGAGCTGGACCTTCAAAGAGAAGTAGCTTACCAGCAGATATAGAGCATTCTAAGCAGAAAGAATAGCAAGGAGGGAGGCATGCAAGTGTTTGGCAGGGATTTGGGAACCTTGAGTCATTTCTAAGGGGGCTAGAGTATAGAGCGGGGTTGTCCAAGGGTCAGAATACAGTCGTGGGTGCTTAGTTTCTGTTTCTGGTTGGTCCAGTAAAGCCCCTTCCTCATCCCTGTTTTCCACTTATCACTAGAGTCAGAAAGCAAAAACCATGACTTCAGGCTGCTAAAAACCTAAAACAAAACAAAACAGAACAACAACAAAATAAGACAGGTTGGACAAGCTTGGTGTAGAGGGTCAGCTGAAATTTGACTGCTACCAGGGGCCTTGATTGTTTTAATTTCTTGACACAACTGTTCCTCATTAAAACTTATAGCCACCAGTTCAGCAGCTAAGAGATCGGCTTTTTCATGCTCAAGGTTCTGCTGTCTTGGGCCAACAGTCTCCCCCTTTCCCCTACCCCCGGATTGTTGTGGGAGCTATCCCCCACTCTAAAGAGACATCTTACAGATTGGGATCCCAGCCTTCTCACCAGGTAAGACCTTACTTGTTAATTCATTTGTTCATTCAACAATATTTATGTGCCAAGCGTGGTTCTGGGCACTTGGAATATATTGTGAACAAAACTGATGAAAATTCCCAACTTCCATAGAACATAGATTCAGTTCTTTTTATAATAAATGACTGTTTATTGAACTACTAGGCTGTTAGGACATAAAGGTGCAAAAATCGTGATACTTGCCCTCAAGTAGCTCATAGTCTAGTGGAAAGATAGATATGTAAAAAATAGCTACAGTAGGCCTGGCACAGTGGCTCACGCCTCTAATCCCAACTTTGGGAGGCCAGAGTGGGCAGATCACGAGGTCTGGAGTTCGAGACCATGCTGGCCAACATGGTGAAACCCCATCTCTACTGAAAATAGAAAAAAATGAATTGGGTGTGGTGGCATGCGCCTGTAGTCCCAGCTACTTGGGAGACTGAGGCAGGAGTATTGCTTGAACCCGGGAGGCGGAGGTTGAAGTGAGCCCAGATCGTACCACTGCACTCCAGCCTGGGCGACAGAGCGAGACTCTGTCTCAAAAAAAAAAAAAAAAATTAGCTACAGTAAAATTCGTAAATACCATGATTGGGGTATGGCAAGAGGCCATAAGATCACACAGATGAAAGCAGTTTACTCTGTATGGTGGGGTGGCGGGGGCAGTCCAGGGAGTGTTTCAGAATGAGTCTGAGGTCTGATCAGAGTCTCAAAGATTAAAAGTTTTTAGGCAAAGGAATGAGCAAGTGAAGACTGTTTCAGGCACAGAGAATAGCATGTACAAAGGCACTGAAGCAAGAGTAAGCTGAGGCCTTTTGAGGATTACTAATATTTAATTGGGGCTGCAACACAGGTGTTTATGGCTGCGAAGTTAGATGAAGCTGGAACAACAGGTTCCGGAGTCAGATCACTAAGGACCTAGCATTCTGTGCTAAAGAACTTAAACTTGACAGGGAGGAGCTATTGAACAGTTTTAGGAAGAGGGGTGACATAATTAGCTGTGTGTTAGGAAGAGCCAGTCTGGAGGGAGTTAGGCTATAGTAAGGGATGATGAAGACATGAAATAACTAAAGCTGGCCAGTGAGGTTGGATTTGAAATACGTAGTACTTAGTAGATAGAACTGACAGAATTGCTGATAGTTTGGAGAGGTGTGTGTGTGGTTGGGGGACTGAGGGAGAGGAAAGAGGTTCTGGCCAAAGTGCCCGGGGGGATTGGGTACTGTTAAGATGTGAGGCCAGAAGTTTACTAGACGAGCTGGGGAACAGAATCCAGGGAGGTTTGGATACAGAGTTATCTGGCGGAAGCTCTGATGGCTCATCTTGTCCCACCTTCAATCCCCACCCTAATTCCTTTTCTTTTTTCCCTCCCTTTCCTCTGTCCCTTTCTTCCCTCACTTGTCTCCCCTTTTCCCCTTCCCCTCCTCTCTTCTCCTCTCTCTCTCCCTCTCCCCATCTCTTTTCATTTAAAAATAACTATAGATTCACAGGAGGTGGCAAAGAAATGTACTGGGATGTCTCCTGCGTCCCAACAACACCCCGCCCCATGTCAGCATCTCACACGACCACAGTACAGTATCAAAACCAAGAAATTGCCATTAGTACAATCCATGGATTCAGATTTCAGTCAGTCTCCACCAGTTTTTCATATTGTTATATGTGTATTTATGCAGTTTTGTCACATTGTGGTGTGTAACCACCACCAAAATCAAGATACTCAATTTTACCATCACCATAAAACTCTCTTGTGTTACCTTTTTTTTTTTTTTTTCTGGGACAGAGTCTTGCTCTGTCGCCCAGGCTGGAGAATAGTGGCATGATCTCAGCTCACTGCAAGCTCCGCCTCCCAGGTTCACACCATTCTCCTGCCTCAGCCTCCCGAGTAGTTGGGACTACAGGCGCCCACCACCACACCCGGCTAATTTTTTGTATTTTTAGTAGAGTTGGGGTTTCACCATGTTAGCCAGGATAGTCTCAATCTCCTGAGTGCCGGGATTACAGGCATGAGCCACCACACCCAGTCATCTCTTGTGTTACCTCTTTTATAGCTGCACTTATCCCGCGTCCCTCATCCTTGGCTTCACCAATATGTTCTCCAGCTCTATAATTGTTATTTAATGATTGTTACATAAATAGAATCATGCAGTATGTATCCTTTGGAGATTGGCTTTTTTCCCTTAGCATAACTTCTTTGAGATTCATTCAAGTTGTTCTGTGTACCAGTAGTTCACTCATTCTTATTGCAGAGTAGTATTCCATGGTGTGAATGTACCATGGTTTTAATTTTTTTTTTTTTTTTGAGATGGAATCTTGCTCTGTTGCCCAGGTTGGAGTGCAGTGGCACTATCTTGGCTCACTGCAAGCTCTGCCTTCTGGGTTCACACCATTCTCCTGCCTCAGCCTCCTGAGTAGCTGGGACTGCAGGTGCCCGCCACCACGCCCGGAGAATGTTTTGTATTTTTAGTGGTGACGGGGTTTCACCGCGTTAGCCAGGATGGTCTCGATCTCCTGACCTCGTGATCTGCCCACCTTGGCCTCCCAAAGTGCTGGGATTATAGGCGTGAGCCACTGCACCTGGCTTCGGTTTTATTTTTTTTAGCCATTCAAACTTTGAAGGACATTTGGGTAGTTTCCAATTTGGGGGTATTATGAGTAAAGCTGCCATGAGTATTCAAATACAAGCTCCTAATTGACGTCTTTACTAGGTTCAGTCTTTCAGTCCATGAACGTGGCATGTTTCTCCAGTGCTCTCTCTATCAGTGTTTTACAATTTTTATCACACCAATCCTGTACATATTTTGTCCAATTTATACTTAAGTATTTAATTTTTTTATTATCACCTGTCCACTCATGCCTACTAAGTATTTAATTTTGTCTTCAGCAGTTTAAAATCTAATTTATTGGTTTCCACTTGTTCATTGAGTATATAGAAATGCAGTTGATTTTTATGTGTTGATCTGGTTATACCCTGTGACCTTCCTGAATAGTTGTAGAAGTTTTTTGTGGATTCCATGGGGTTTTCTATTAGACAGTCACGCTGTCTGCAAATCTGCAAATAGATAGTTTTCTTTCTTTTCAATCTATATGCATTTAATTTCTTTCTCATGCCTTATTGTAGTGACTAGGACTTCCAATCTCTGTTAAATAAGAATAGTGAAAATGAGCCAGGCGCGGTGGCTCACACCTGTAATCCCAGCACTTTGGGAAGCTGAGGCGGGTGGATCACCTGAGGTCAGGAGTTGAGACCAGCCTGACCAACATGGTGAGACCCCATCTCTACTAAAATATAAAATTAACCGGGCATGGTGGTGAATGCCCGTAATCCCAGCTACTCAGGAGGCAAGGCTGGAGAGTCGCTTGAACCCGGGAGGTGGAGCAGTGAGCTGAGATTGTGTAGTTGCACTCCAGCCTGGGCAACAAGAGCAAAACTCCATCTCAAAAAAAATAAATAGTTAACATGAATGTTCTTGCCTTGTTTCCAGTCTTAGAGGAAAAACATTCAATATTTCAGCATTAAGTATGATGTTAGCTTTAGGTTTTTCGTAGATGCTCTATATGAGACTAAGGACATTTCCCTCTATTCCTTGTGTCTTAGTCCATTTAGTACCGCTATAACAGAATACCACAGACTGGGAAATTATTTATAAAGAACAGAAATTTATTTCTTATGGTTCTGGAGTCCAAGATCAAGGCACCAGCAGGTATGGTTCCACTCTCAGTTCCAAGATGGTGCCTTGCTGCTGTGTCCTCACATGGCAGGCAGCAGATGTGCAAGAGAAAGCAAACCTACTCCTGCAAGTCCTTTTTATGGTGGCATTAATCCGTTAATGAGGGCAGAGCCCTCATGACCTAAACACTTCCAAAAAGTCCCACCTCCCAACACTGTTGCATTGAGGATTCAGTTTTCAACACATGACTTCGGGGAACGTATTCATTCAGATCATAACACCTTGTGAACTAGATCATGAATCAGTGTTGAATTTTGTCAGATGTTTTTTCTGCATCATTTCTGTGATCATATTATTTTCATTCTTTAGTTTGTTGGTATAGGGGATTAAATTGATTGGTTTTTAAATATATTGGATCAGCTTTGCATGACCTGGAATCAATCCCACTTTCTTGTGGAATATTATTTTTTATATACATTGTTTGATTTTGCTAAAATTTTATTGAGGATTTTTGTGTCTAAGTTCATGAGAAATATTGATGTATAGTTTTATGTTCTGCTATCTTTTTCTGGTGTTGGCATCAGGGTAATACTGGCCTCATGAAATTAGTTAGGAAGTGTTCCTTCTATCTTCTGGAAGAGATTACGTAAACTTTGTATTAATTCTTTGACTGTTTGGTGAAATTTTCCAGTGAAACCATCTAGGCCTGGAGATTTCTTTTCTGGGAGCTTTTAAATTACAAATCCAGCCGGGCGCGGTGGCTCAAGCCTGTAATCCCAGCACTTTGGGAGGCCGAGGCGGGCGGATCATGAGGTCAGGAAATCGAGACCATCCTGGCTAACACCGTGAAACCCCGTCTCTACTAAAAAATACAAAAAACTAGCCGGGGTGGCGGGCGCCTGTGGTCCCAGCTACTCAGGAGGCTGAGGCAGGAGAATGGCGTGAACCCCGGGGGCGGAGCTTGCAGCGAGCCCAGATCGCAGCACTGCACTCCAGCCTGGGGCACAGAGCAAGACTCTGTCTCAAAAATAAATAAATAAATAAATTACAAATCCAATTTCTTTAATGATTATAGGACTATCCAGATCTTCTTTCATTGTGACTGAGTTTTGGTAGTTTGTGGTTCTTGAGGAATGGGTCCATTTCTGACTAAGTTGTCAGATATTTATGAATGTAAAGTTATCTGTAGTATTCGTTTATCTTTCTAATGGCTTCAGAGTCTGTTGTAATATTCCATGTTTCATCTCTGATGATGATTTATATCTTCTCTCTTTTTATCTTTATCAGTTTTTAGATGTTTATCAATTTTATTGAATTTTTTCCTCAAAGAACTAGTTTTTGTTTCATTAATTTTCCCTATTATTTTTCTGTTTTCTATTATTTACTTTTCTCTTTCCTTTCCAAGAGCTGATGTTTTTTTCTCTTCATAGGTTCCAACTCCATCTCCAAGGCCAAGAGTTTTCACCCCTCAGTCATCACCAGCGATGCCTTTGGCACCTTCCCATCCTAGCCCTTATCAGGGCCCCAGGATGCAGAATATAAGTGACTACAGGGCATCTGGGTCCCAGGCCATCCAGCCTTTGCCTTTGGGCCCTGGGGTAAGGCCTGGTGAGTGAGTCACTGAAGATCTGTTTGGGCAGAGCACAGAGGTCTCAGGAAAGCAACTGGCATGGCCAGCATGGATTTGGGAAGCTGTATGTCTGTCTAGTGAGAGGAGCTTGGAAGTTGAAGTCTGAATTCCTAGTGCTATCACTGGCTTCGTACCTTTGGCAATATACCAAAGTGTTGTGTTGCTTATCTCAACCCTATGGGATTGTTTTGAAGGTCAAATAAGGAATACAGTTAAAAGTATTTTGTAAATTATAGATTTCCATATACATGTATTAATCATTTATTATTATTAATTTTTTATTGCTATCCTGTTTCTCCTTGATATGCTCTGAGATGCTCCTGAATTGAAGTTTAGTGACAAATGACCTATTTCTGTTCTACCTCAGCTTCATCTCAGCCACAGCTATTAGGAGGGCAAAGGGTGCAAGCTCCTAACCCGGTGGGATTCCCTGGGACATGGCCTCTTCCTGGTTCCCCTCTACTCATGGCATGCCCAGACATCACGCAACCTGGCTCTACCTCCCTGCCTGAGACTCCTAGACTGTTCCCTCTGCTTCCTCTGAGACCACCAGGTCCCAGCCACATGGTCTCCCATGCCCCAGCTCCTCCTGTGAGCTTCCCTGTGCCATACCCTCCAGGGGGCCCAGTTGCCCCATGCTCTAGTGTCCTCCCAACCACTGGCATCTTGACTCCTCACCCAGGTCAGTCTTCCTTCCATGAATCCCTCTTCTGGGTTATTGCCTCCCCTACCCCTCCAACTACTTTGGGAGTCTTTCTTCAAGTCAGAGGCTAGGGCCCTGTGGGGTGGAGGGTGGCCAGGAGTGTAGATAGTCTGCAGAGGGAGGTATGGTGGATTCCAACTCAAAGAATGCTTCCAGCCTTCAGATCAAAAATTTCCAGTGTTTTTCGTTATGCCCCTAAAAACCTCTATCTTTTTATCCTGTAGGACCTCAAGATTCCTGGAAAGAAGCTCCAGCCCCCAGGGGAAACCTCCAGAGGAACAAGGTCAATGCATCTGTCCCCACCCACTCCCTCGCACATTCACCAATGACCATGTTCTAATTCCTTAGAGGATTCAGTCAGTCCCTCCCCTTCTCAGACTGTCCCCGCCCTCCTCCCACTTACTCTTCTTTCCTCAGGACCCTCCTCTTTCTCTTTCCCTCTTACATACATACACCAGTCTCGTCACTTCCCAGTTTCCCATACTCACTCCTCTGCCTCCTTGTTCACTATCATTCCTGCCACTCCCCAAAACCAGAGCCATGGAGTCTCTCAGCTCAGACTCATGTGTCTTTCCTTCTGTCTCTTTAGCTGCCAGAGACATTTATGCCCCCAGCACCAATTACTGCTCCAGTTATGAGCCTCAGCCCTGAGCTTCAAGGGATTCTTCCCTCACAGCCCCCTGTCTCCGGTGTGAGTCATGCTCCCCCAGGAGCTCCAGGAGAACTCAGCTTGCAGGTAACAGGAACAATGTATTCCCCTCCCTTGAGAAACCTTCCAGCCCTCCTTGGGTGCAAGTCATGGTAGATGGGCCTCATTCTTCAAGGCAGAGACCGTCTCTGAGCTGAGGGAGACTGGGGACAGGTACCAGGTGTCCTTACTGCAAAGAAAGGGAGGCTGCTCATCTCCCCACCTCTGCTCTGATGGGAACAGTATGACTGTGAGTCACTGGGGACTAGTCCTTAGGGAAGCCATGAGAAGGACAGATTGCCCCTCTGGCCTTTCTCCCTGCTTCTTTATCAGCAGCTTCAGCACCTGCCACCTGAGAAGATGGAAAGGAAGGAGCTGCCCCCAGAGCATCAGTCCTTGAAGAGCAGCTTTGAGGCACTTCTCCAACGTTGCTCCCTGTCTGCAACTGACTTAGTGAGTCTGAACCTTCTCCACAGTGCCCTCCTCGCACCCCTCGCTGGTTCCAGGACCCCCCAGCTGTGGACCAGTTCCTTGTGTGACTCTCTTCTCACTGCCCTGAACATGCTGTCTCTATCTTGTACTTAATTAATGTCCATGTGGAGCTGGGGAGAGACTTCGAGTCTGGTCTGAAGTCTAGCTCCTTGACAGTAGGACCCAGCAGCATTGAGACCTAAAGGCAGCAGGGGTACTGGAAGGAGGGTGGAGCCAGGAGTAAGGAAGTCTGCCATTCCCTTGCTGGCTGTGTCGGCTTGAGCAAGTTGCTTACCCTTCTTGGGCCTTCATTCCCTCCTCTGTGAAATGAAGCCATTCTAGCTCTAATATGCTGTGATGCTTCTTTTTTTTTTTTTTTTTTTTGAGATGGAGTCTCACTCTGTTGCCCAGGTTGGAGTGCAGCGGTGCGATCTCGGCTCACTGCAAGCTCCACCTCCCAGGTTCACGCCATTCTCCTGGCTCAGCCTCCCAAGTAGCTGGGATTACAGGCACCCGCCACCATGCCTGGCTAATTTTTTGTATTTTTAATGGAGATGGGGTTTCACCGTGTTAGCCAGGATGGTCTCAATCCGCCCACCTCGGCCTCCCGAGGTGCTGGGATTACAGGCATGGGCCACTGCGCCCGGCCTAATATGCTGTGATTCTTTATGGCCCTGTGTGGTGTTAGCCTTAGGGGCGGGGGTTGGAATCCATTTCTTTCCCTGCAGAAGACAAAAAGGAAGTTGGAAGAGGCAGCCCAGCGTCTGGAGTGTCTATATGAGAAGCTCTGTGAGGGGACAGTAAGTACACCTACCTGTGCTCTCACTGCCTCCTACCCTTCCACCATGACCATGGCCAAAGGAAGCCCAGTATCTTTTCTTCCCATAGGTCTCACTGACCTGGGTTCCCATAAAATATGTGCATCTTGCCTGGACTGGGCCCAGAACTTAAGTCTTCCCTTATCCCTTCCATGCTGCCAGGGTAGGGACTGGGTTGGGCTCGCTAACCTAAGGGTCGTTCCCTCCACAGCTCTCACCTCATGTCGTGGCTGGGCTCCATGAGGTTGCCCGATGCGTGGATGCAGGAAGCTTTGAGCAGGGCCTCGCAGTGCATGCCCAGGTGGCGGGCTGCAGCAGCTTCAGCGAAGTGTCCAGCTTCATGCCTATCTTGAAGGCAGTCCTCATCATTGCTCATAAGCTGCTGGTCTAAACCAGGCAGCCTCTCTTGCTAGGAGGCCTCTTCTGCTGTTACTTAACTCCTACCTGCAGAAGAGGGGACTTTTGCAACAGATTCTGTTTGTTTTTCCCAACTCTCTTCCTTGCTGCCAGGTATGTGATGCTGTAGGCTTGACTCCAAACCAGCTGAGTGCCTGCTTTTTACTCCTTTATGCCTGGCCTTCCAGGATCTGTCCAAGACACTCTCAGGCCTGGAGGCAGGGCATAGAGTCAGTTCTTCACTCTCCCTAATACTACACTCTGTAAGGACCTGGGGCAGAATATCTTCTCCCCCAGGGATCTTCTGTTTACGTGGCTTCTGAGAGGGTGAACAGGATTGTTACTTTTAAGTCTACCTCTGCTGTGACCCATCATGTGGGTCTTTTGTTTCTCCCTTCTGTGGTTTATGAGCCTGCCCTTACCTTTTCCCTGTCTCTGACTTCATATTTCCAGGTCTGTATTTCTCTGTAGCCCAGGGTATGGGGTAGAGCTGACTGCTGTTCACCCTTTGAACAAGTCATGGATGTGAGGGATGGGTGCTGAGGAGAACCAAGAGAGGAAACTTTGGCGCTGTTAAAATGGAATTTCTCATGTGCCAGCATTATTAAGGGTGGGCTAGGTTGGATGGAAGGTGAAAGGGGTGAACTGCCTTTTGCTGGAAGCTGTCTTAGGCTGTGAGATAGGAGCAGGGGAACCACAGCCTATGGGGAACTGCCCTTGACTATGTTGGAGCCTTAGCCCAAGGCCATTCCTTCTGTGATGATAAAGCCCATTTCTGTATTCTCTTCCAGCACTGCTCCTCAAGGGTTGGGGGCCCTTCTACCTGGCAGCCACCACATGTCCCAGGGCTACCTTCTTTGGCTGGATTTGCATTTGTGGCACTGTGTTTGGATTTGCATTTGTGGCACTGTGTTTGATGCAGTGATGTACTTAATGGTGCAATAAAGCTGCTTCGATTTGGTTTCCTCTGTCATCTCCCAGTCATTGTCTCCTCTGGGTTCTATTTTGCCATTACCTTCCTAGTCCTCTTTATTCTTGCTTCCTGCACCCTAGTAAGGCAGGGGAGAGGCTTAGGGAGAGATAAATCAAGAAAGTTAAAGGAAGGTGTCCAGCCCCACTGAATTAGGTTCTCTCCTTGCAGCATTTGTGGTCACTCTGCTGGGTGTGTTGGGGGCGGGGGGGTTGTCTCTCTTCATCCGTGCCTGGTGTTCAGTTCCAGGGTTTTCCGCACCCCACTTCAGGGCTGAGCTCAGCTATACAAAGGGACTGGGTGTGAAGCCAGGGGATACTAGCCCTAATCCTGTTGTAGATCCCATCATGTCTGTGGGCTAGATGTGTGTGTGTTTGGGAGGGAGGGATTGTTAGGCAGTATTTGTTTGTAAAGCCACTTGCTCTTCAGATAATACTTGCACTAACTTCTATTGATGAAGCAGTGTGAGCCCCAGCAAAGTCCTTTCCCAAAGTGTCTTTGAAGCCAAGAGCCCATTGAAGGGAAGAAAGGCCGGGAGAGGGGATTAGTTTGTTCAGCAGCTGTGAATTTCAGTGGGAGGTTGATGAACTCCGAAGTCTTTGTTTAAATTAAAGTGGGGGAGAAAAAAGCCGCTGCTGGAGCGAGAGCCCCACTTGGGGCCCTGAACTAACACAAGGAGAAGTCTGAGCTGCAGGGAGCTGTGTACTGACTGCGAAGACTTTTCCCAAACACTTTCGGAAAAGGTGTTGTGAGAAGACAAGGGGGCGGAGTGGCGGATTAGCATGTGAAATGAAGTTTTCATTGACTCCAGTGGGGGTAGAAGGCTATTTTAATGGCATTTTGTTCTCCTATTTTCTCTTCTTGAGCTCTTTAGATATATTGTTTTGCTAAGACAGGCTTTCTTCCCCCTTCTTTCCAGTCTGAGGATTGCCTCTATGGGAGCCAACATAAATATTTCTCCTCCAGGAATGCGGGTTAATTAAAAGGAAATGAATGAGTGGAAGCATCCAATCCAGACCTACAATAGGCGAGTGCCCTGGCCTGCCCTCCCCTCCCACCACCACCAGCACCACCAGCGCCGAAGACGACCCGGTCTCTGTCTTTGCCCTAACCTGCTGCTAAGGCCAGTTGAGACTGCGATTCTTTTCAAAAAGAAAAAGCTCTGCCTGTGTGTAGGCTCACAGGCCAGGGACAGGAAGGAGACAGTGTTTTGCCCACCCCAACCAATTTCCTTGTCACTTCTCAGGACCTCCCTCTGTTTCTGTCTTCTGACTGAGACAGATGGGCTCCTGAAGAGCACACGAGAGGTGGGAAGGGGCCTGTGCTCTGCACTCACCCCACAGTAACTTACTAGTTGGGGGAAGAAGCCAGTCATCTTTCTCAGCATCAGTTTAAATCTGTAAAACAAAAGTTTTGACTAGCTGACCTCAAAGATGTCTTCCCAAGCTCCATTTCTGGAGTTGTCTACTTTGTAAAGGGACCACGACCCTGGCGATTGAGTATAAAATGAGAACTTAAACTCCATGATGCAGCAATGGCGGTGGTTGTTCACCACTGTCTCCACTCTGGTGTTTGTTGAATGAACAAATGAACAAGTGGATATTGCAAAAGGAAGGGAAAAGCATACAGATCCAAGGCAGCTCAGTCATGTTTTCTTGATGGAACTGGAATGAATCTGGTATCCATTTGGGGATATAAAACAATAGCCTATGAAAGAATGTTCTGGCAGCATGACATATTTAGAGTGCTGACCTGGAGTTATCAAATATGAAGCACAATAGTTCTCCTGCTTTTATACTAAGAGACTTCCTGGAGAATGCAGCTTTACTTTACAACATTGTACTTTTAAATTTTCTAGCTGCCTTGCCAAACTTTCTTCGTGTACATTATCAAGCAATTCTGCAAAGTGGGACAGGTAGGTTAGTATATGCTACTTCTTGGTGAAGGAGAAAAGGTGAGTTGGGAGGCTCAGATAAAAGTGGAGGGAAGGCGTGAAGGGCCTTTTGCTGATAGAGCTGGAAATGAAGCACTAGGAACCCCTGAAAGGAAGTGTATCCCCGGTCAGGAAGGGGAAACTGTCTCAGTAAGTGTTGGCAAGACCAGAAGGTATGTGGGTGAGGCCAGGGGTTTGGGATCTGACCTGGCTATTGCCTTAGTTTGGATTACGGGAACCCTTGACTCTTACAGGTGAGCCCCTAGAGTCTTGGCTTTTGTTACTTGGAGCCAGTCACACTGCTTTCTCCTACTCTGGGAGAGGAAGGTTGAGGTCATCTAACATCTGACCAGTTCTGCTCTAGAAGAGCTGCCCAGGCCCAGACCTGGGACTGTCCTAGGGCAAGGAAGCTGGCTGGGGAGCTCTTTGGGCTCCAGAGGGTCTGTCAGGGATTGGTTCTTCCCTACCCAAGGTCTTGCTGTGTTTCATAAACAAGTCCCTGCTGTGCTCCTCTCTGAGAATAAAACCAGAAGACTCAAGTACTGCAAGCAGCAAGCTCATGGCTATTGAGTGAATGTATTAGAAGATTTATATAGATGATTTACTAATCCTTGGCAGCTTAGCCTCAATCCAGATAACTGCTTGGGCCACCAGGGAAGTGAGGCTCTAGGGAGGATAGTATCCTGCCAAGAGGGGAGGGAGGAGAGAGCCCACAGGTTGTATCTGTTACCACACCCCACCCCAATATCCTCAAGAATAAGTGCAGTACCTAGAAAAAGAGCACATATCACAATTACTGCAATAAATTAAGGTTCAAGGTGCTGAACTTCCCATTAGCAACAGTTTCATTGCAGGAAGTTTACTCATCGAAGGAAGATATCCAGTGCTGTGAATCCTGCCTGTTTGAGAACCAGGTTAGTGGTAAGGAAGGGTCTCAGTTTCTCCTTCTTATGACCTGCCCCTAGAGGTGCAGACCAGGATCTGAACAGGAAAGTGGCTTTATTTACCTCAGTCTTGGCTCAAAGGAACAAAGATCCTTTGGGGAAGAAGAAGAGGTAAAGTTGGTTGCTAGGAGGAAGTAGGTCAGGAGAAGATAGAAGGTACCTTTAAAGGGTAGGAAATGACTGTAATCTACCCTTAACGTATTTCCTAGACCTTTGGGGTATGTATCTAGAGTCTCTTGGGTGATTGTCTAGGAAGGTCATTGCCCCACTAGTAAAGTCTATCATGACATGATACCACAAGGATGAGTAGCACCCTTGGTATTCAAATCAGCACTCCAGAGGAGCTCTCTCTTCCTCCATCTTCAACCTCTGCCTCTAGGAACCAACCCCAAAGACATGCTTTGCCGAGGCCAGTTTCCTCAGTTTTTCTGGGAAAGAAAGGAAAGGGAGAAGAGGAGAGAAAGCATTCAAGATTCCTGGGGAGTCTGGGTCAGCAGGTAGCAGGGGAGGAGCTGTGCAGAAGAGAGGGGCAGCAGTAGGCAAAAGGGCAAAGCTTTGGCTTTACCTGGGCCCTGCGTGTCTGAGAAGGGTTCTTCCAGCCCCTAAGGCTTGATAGGCTAGGTCAGACATTAGGGCTGCTAGGAAAGGGGAGGAGGAACACCTGTTCTCATCCTAATCCAAGGAAGATCAGTAGCTCAAAGCCTGAGTTCTCAGTCAGACCTAGGTGTGGCTGCGAGGAGGCTTCAAACAGAGCCCTAGGAGAGCACAGAGGAATTGGGGAAACAGGCTGAAAAGTGGCAAGCTTCGGAGAAATTGCAGTCTCTCTCAGGATCCCTAGGTCTGGAGCGGGTTCCCCTTTCCCTAGGTTCCACAATTACTGGGGTCTCTAAAAGAAGCCAAGAACCGGTGGGAAAAGGAGGGGGCAGAGGAAACGCTTAGGGTTTTCTCCCGGGTTTGTGCGCAGCGCCCCCGCGCGGCCGCTCTGCGCGGCTGCAGAAGTACTTGGTGACCCGCCGGCGGCACTGCTCGCAGCGGACTGCGCAGCACCAGTGGAACTTGCAGTTGCAGCTGGACACGGTCTCCGCCCGGCGCTCCTCCACCGCCAGCCCGCAGTCCCCGCAGAGCCGGCGGCAGCTGCGGCGTTCCCAGCGACCCAGGGCCCGCCCGCGCCTCAGGCACTCTCGGCCTTCGGTGCCCAGCAGTCCTAGCGTTTTGTTCTCCAGGCAGTAGTCCGGGGAGTCCTCCAGGTGCACCAGCTCCCGGGTGGAGATGGAGCGAAAGGTGTCGGCGATGGCGCCGCGGCCGGCAGCGCTGTTGCCAGCACCCTGCAGCAGGTCCACCTTGAGTGCTGCGTGGTACTTCTCCTTCAGGTGCGCGCCCACCTCGCGGAACTCGGGCAGCTGCAGCCAACAGGTCTGCGTGGTGCAGCTGCCAGACACGCCGTGGCACTTGCACGTACGTTTCATGGTGCCCTTCACTGCCTGGGGAGAGAGCTAGGAGTGAGAGACCCGAGATTAAGCGCGTGGCGAGTTTAACTGGCCCTGCGGGAGTTGCGAGGAGTCTAGTTAGTCTACTGGACCAGCCCACTTGGTACCTTATTTTGCCAGTCTTTTAAATGAACTGAAGAGTTGTCCACACCTGGAGCTCGTAGTGGATGGAGCCAGCAGCTGTCTATTCCCAAGGGCTGCGGGACTCACCTTGCGGCCAGCCTCGTTGTTGTGCAGGTTCATGGCTGCCCGTGCATCCTGTCCTGTTTCCAGGGCATCGACAAACTGCTTGGAAATCGCCTCTCCGAAGCCCACATTGTCACTGCAGCCTCCCCACAGCCAGCCTTGGCCCCCTGGAAAAGTGCAGGGGGAGGACAGGTCATTGAGCAAGCGGGCGCAGAGCCTCCTGGGCTGCTGTTTCTAACTGGGTTCGGGGTGGGGGGTCCAGGATAGGAGAGGATTAAGGTTGGGCGAGTACCCTGTATCCAGATCAGTTGCCGTCTATATTTGTTTTTGCCACCTTTACACGCCCACTTCCAGGTTTAGCCAATCCCCTGCTCAGGGATCAATGACGTAAGTAGTTGCCGAGTGGATTCTTTGCAAGGCGCCAGAACACTCCTCTGCCAACAGTGCCTCTTGCCATGGGCAGAGGGTGCACGTGCCCTGCTGGTGATTGAGGTCCAGAAGGAACAAAATGGTGCCAAAAAGATGAGGAAAGCTCAAGCATTGAGTGGGAAAGAGGGGTACAATTGAAATATGGAACAATGATATTGGAAATTGGTCAGGAGGGCACAGGATTGGAGACGGCACTGGAGGTAAAGAGTGGAAAGTAGACGGGGATAGGCAACACGGAAGGAAGTTCCCCTTGTGTTTGAGAGAAGCAACAGAGGAATCCCCAGAGTGTTGCTTCTTTATTATTATGTTTAAATTAAGGAAACTACTCAATGGGACAAGAAGGTCCTAAGCTACATTTAGCCTGGCTTGTCATTGTAGGGCTTGGGATCAAACTCGTTCACCCATCTTCCGCATGATTTTCTTGATATTTAGAAAAATACAGCTCTTCTTCACCCCCACTAGGCTTTTCATTCTTTATGTGAATTGAGCTGGCCTATGGTACCCATCCCCACATTACTACTCACCCAGTTGCCCATTGCGGGAGTCATCACAGCCACAGTTATCAAAATCTCCAAGGCTGCAGTTTCTAGTCAGGGTGTACATGACTCCAGCAGAACTGATGGCATGCACAAATGCTGTCTCCCGATTAGCTAGCAGGAACCAAAAATCCAGAGTTAGAGGGAGGGGTTGCAGCTTAAAGAAATACCAGACATGCTACCTTTCTTTAATAACCATCATTATATCCTCTATCCCTAGCTCCATCCTATTTCCCCATCTTTATTATTATTTTTTAACGTTTATTTTTTGCAGAGAGAGGGTCTCACTATGTTGCCCAGGCTTGTCTGGAACTCTGGGCTCAGTCTTCCTACTGCGTCCTCCCGAAGAGCTTGGGATTACAAACTGGAGCCACTGTGCCTGGCCTTCCTATCTTTACAGTGTATCTTACCCTCTTCCATGGTCTGCTCCATCCCTGGAATTAGCCCTACTCTTCTCACCTCCTGTCATTTCAGGTCACACATTTTATGACCAGGTGACTAGGGTACTGTTGACACATGTGATTGTAAATGATTTAGGTTGGAAAGAGCCTGAGGAAGAAATGGGGAGGGAGATGAATCTGAAGGCTAGGTTGTAAAGAACCCATCCCCAATTCCTCCTGGAACACTGGGGTCTAAGAGTCATGTGCAGTTAGTCTTGAAAAGAACCTCTGATTGGCAGCTCTTTCATTTACTGGCATGGCCACTCTATCTTATCTTCTCCATGGGAATCTGGTCTCCAAGTCACTCTCCACTTGCCCAGTACCTCTCTGCTAAGGAAGGGGCTAAGAGGTATGATACCTCCTGATATTACCCCTGCCTACCTCCTGATATTACTTACATTGTGAGGAGACCTTTAGCCAACTGGGAGGCCAAGGATGGTATGGGATTGGGAGTAAGGCAATATCCATTTGTTGAGCAATGAGAGTGTTGAGAAAGAAAGAAAAAACTCTATAGGTGGGAAAAAGGAAGTAGAAAAGGAAAAGAGAAGATCCTGGAGAGGGAGATGACCTAAGAGAAGAGAGCAGGTGAGGAATAAGTGTGTCGAGGAGACAAGGGACTATCCCTGGGGCTCTAACCTGTGACCAGGGGGTCCAGGGAGCTGTGGCCGAAGCTTTTCTTACCACTGCGAAGCCCACCATGGCTGGACAGCTGCAGAGCTCTCTCAGGGCAGTTCCAGCGGTCCCAGGCAAACTGATACTTGCATTCTTCAATACCACTCTGGGCACCAGCTGCCACACTGCTGGAGTAAATCAGGTAAGCCTGTAGGGACGTAGGGGTAAAAACTCAGACTGAACTTAGGAGGAATTTACCCTAAACTGACCAAACACCTCCCTTCCTGCTCACTCTCCCATCCCTCCAAAATAATGATGGAGTAAGCACTTTAAATATGCTGTCTCATTTGACATCACAGATAACCTGTGAAATAGGCACTATTTTATAGATAAGGAAACCGAGGCTCAGGGAATGAGCTAAAGTGATTTCCCCAAAGTCGCAGAGCTAGCAAATGGCGGAACTAGAAATGAAACCAGTTTTATCAGACTCTAGTCCCTGTCATCCTTTATTCACCTTTATTCATTAAACTATCCTGCCTCTCCAAAATGAGCCCAAATCACACAATCATGAAATTTAAGCAGTTCTCATCACATGACCATCTTAGAAAATAACATTTTGAAACTGAAAATGCCCATGAATGTAAAGATCATGTAGTACAATTCCAGTATTTTAAACATGGGAAACTGCATCCCACCACAGGGCACTGAGAAGGATGTGTGACTTTGCAGCCTGACACCTATAAAAGGCTGTTGACTTTTATGGCTCTGGAAATTCTAGCCATAAATTCAGAATTAGCGCTCCTGAGTTCTTATCTTGGCTCTGACAATGGCTTGCTATGTGGTTTTAGATGTGTCCCTAACACCCTCTGGGTCTCAGTCTTTCTATCTGTAATATATACAGCATAACAAAAGATGTGGATATGATGAAAAATCTGCATTTATCATCTTTAGTCAACAGGCTAAGATTAGTGAAATCCGTATCAATTAAAGGAATTTGTTCTTACTTTTGGACCAGTCATCAGGAAATTGTTCACTGACCTGTAAGAGAAAAAACAAAAACAGAATATAATGCAGAGACACCAACTTGTTTCCGCTTCCAAGAGTGGTAAGAATTACTTCAGCACATGTAATTAATAGGAAGAAAGGGCAACTAGTTTTACCCAGGAAACACTGTGCATAACAAACCTACTAAAGATAATTTACAGCCAGGTGGGGTGGCTCATGCCTGTATTCCCAGCACTTTGGGAGGCTGAAGCAGGTGGATCACTTGAGGTTGGGAGTTCGAGACCAGCCTGGCCAAACATGGCGAAACCCTGTCTCTGCTAAAAATACAAAAATTAGCGGGTCACGGTGGTGGACACCTGTAGTCCCAGCTACTCAGGAGGCTGAGGCATGAGAATCACTTGAACCTGGGAGGTGGAGGTTGCAGTGAGCCGAGATCATGCCACTGCACTCCAGCCTGGGTGACAGAGCGAAATTCCATTTAAACACACACACACACACACACACACACACACAAAACTTAGTAGAAAAGAACATTAATAAAAGTAGTATAATTTCCTTGCATTTTTAAAGCCAGGTAAAATTTCTAGTACCATAAACTTGATAGTAATGGTTGCTGATTATTCTGCCATGAAGTGGGGAGAGAGCTAGCATTAACTCCTGACTATGTTCCTTATGCTCTACTCTCAGTATTTTACATGTTGATCTTGTTAAATCCTTACTGTCTCAGGCATTATTATCTCTATTTTGCAAATAGGAAATCTGAGACTCCAGAAAAGTTAAACTTGTGTTCAGGCTCACCCAGCTAGTAAGTGAGTGAAGCAGGATTTGAATCCAAGTTCATCTGACTCTATGGGATGTTAGAAGGATACTTCTCTAATTAGGAAGAAGTAAACAGTGGAATCTCTCTCTAGGGATTGAGTCATAATTAAACTCTAAAAATAAGTAATCTGACTTGGGAAAATGGCTTGGCTGCCCCTTTTAAAGCTAAAAATGGGCTGGGTGCAGTGGCTCACGTCCATAATCCTACCACTTTGGGAGGCTGAGGTGGGTGGATCACCTGAATCCAAGAGTTCAAGACCAGCCTAGGCATCATGGCGAAACCCAATCTCTACTAAAAAAAAAAAAAAATAGCTAGGCATGGTGGTATGTGCTTATCATCCCAGCTACTCAGGTGGCTGAGGCACAAGAATCACTTGAATACTGGAGGCAGAGGCTGCAATGAGCTGAGATTGCACCACTGCACTCCAGTCTGGGTAACAGAGTGAGATTCTGTCTCAGAAAAAAAAAAAAAAAACTAAACTAAACTAAAAATGAACTTGCCATATGACTCAGCAATTGCACTCTTGGGCATTTATCCCAGAGAAATGAAGACTTATTTTCACTCAGAAAGTTGTACCTAGATGCTCATAGCCACTTTATTCATAATAGTCAAAAATTGGAAACTACCCAATGTCCTTCAAAGGGTGAATGGTTTAGAAAACTGTGCTACATTCATACCATGGAATATTAACAATAAAAGGGACTGGTCTGTTGATACACGCAACAACTTGGATGAACCTGAAGGAAGTTACAGATGATTAAAGTCAATCTCGGAAGGATACGTACTGCATGATTCTATTTACATAACAATAGTGAAATAATATACATTATATAATTATAGAGCTGGAGGACAGATTAGTGGTTGCCAAGGATTTGGGATGGGGGATGGATGTGGCTATAAAGAGTAACATGAGAAAGTCTTGGGGGGATGGCCAAATGTCTTGACTATGGTTATACAAGGCTACACATGCCAAAATTGCATAAAGCCACACACATGAGTACATGTACAAACAAGTGCATGTAAAAATGGTGAAGTCTGAATAAGCTTCATGGATACTGTACTAACATTGTAAGGTGTTCACACTGGGGAAGGTTGGGGCAAGCGTACATGGGACTTCCCTGTACATTTCTTCCCTGTACATGTCTTGCAAATCTATAATTATCCAAAAATAAAAAGTTAAATATATATGTACATACAGACATGATCTACAGGGCTAGAGACTTGGAGAATGACTTCAGTATAGGCATTTGAAAATCAGAATCTATTATCTTTCTTTTTCCATTATATGTGAGGAAGTAATGCGGGAATTATTATGTATTGTTCCATGAAATCTGGTGTACCCCTGCAATTCTGAAGGTCAATAAGATGCTGAACATCACCAGAAAGGGGATTGGAAATGAAATAGACCAAGAAAGTTTAGTCTCTTGTCAGGCCAAAAGAGCTTGACTGACTCTCTTCATACAAAACACATACAACACCAAAAATGTGAGTAGTTTTTGAAAACCAGTATTAACAAACTAAGAGGCTGCCATATGAGAAGATGAAAAAGATTCTAAACGAGTTGTAATAGAATTTTAGAAAATCAAAATTACTATGAAGTCTAGCAAAACTAAGGCCTATTTTTTTTTTTTTTTTTTTTTTTTTTTTTAGACAGAGTCTCACTCTGTCGCCCAGGCTACAGGGCAGTGGTGTGATCTCGGCTCACTGCAAACTCTGCCTCCTGGGTTCACTCCGGCTTCTAGTGTAACATAAAATTAAACATTTGTTCAGAGAAAGGGCAGGACTGTGAGGATACCTCCTTCATTGGGAAATAAAGGATACAGACAAGTTCCAGCTAGGGTGGGGTTGCCTGCATAATGGCAGAAGCTGACAGAGATGCCCATCCTGTGCTTACTGACATGAACCTAAGTTTGTACTGATGCCAGTTCCTCCTCTTTATAGGTTTCACAAGCTGATCTGGGGGAGCTTTGGCAGTGGGCTTCTGGAAAGCTCCGGTTGGCTGCAGGCAAGGGACAATGGCATGCTTATTCTATACAATGTGACCTACATCCTGTCTTCGGGAAGGAGCCTGTGATTGCCTAGAAACAGAAGCACTCGGGGGCTGTCAGAGCCTCGACTTTAATCCTTTCCAGGTACTGGTTATGTACTACATTTCGGTTAGTCAAACATGGCTGCCAGGAGCAACAGATCTGAGTGGAAGCATTCACATGTGGCCTCCGGTCTGTAACTCTGATCCCTTTCCAGGCTGTTTCCTAGAGAGGCTTTTGATAGCCCCAAATTTGGGCTTCTTTCTCCTTTTCTGCTCTACTTTTTCCTAGGTGGTGTGTTCCCCAAACACCTTATTCATACAGGGCACCCCTGGGTTTCAGGGGCTGTGCTGATTCTAAAGTCTTCATTTGGGATCTGAATAACTTGAATGTGCCAATGACCCTGGGATCCAAGTCACAGGTGAGCAGCACCCCCACCACCCAACCCTGGCTGCTGCTTAGAGTGTGCAGCTGATTTTCCCAGGTAAAGTCTTGTGTTCTGGAGCCAGTTGAGTGCACGAGATTTCGCTTACCACTGGAGGGCAATAAAGCTCCATAGATTTGACATACACAGCCAGATAAGAGCTAGATGCATGGTGGGGTGGAGGGTGTATATGGGGTAAGCCACAGTTTGGCTACTTGTTCTAGGTTTCTGGGAGGCAGATGAAAGGTGAGAGAGCAAAAGATACTACAAGAAAGGAGAGAGAGGGTTGTCAGCTTTCGCAGAGCTGGGTAGGCATTGCCCAGCAAAGACGGAGTAAGAGGAAACCTCAGACATGGCCATTGTCCTTTATGGGAGGGTCAGCTTTATTCTCCTGTATGTGGCTCTGGCGCAGTTGGGGGTCTGGTCTTGTGTCTTGGAGAGCCTGTCTGTCAATCTGCAACTGGGTCCATCTTTGCTTCCTGGCCTTTTCTCTGTCTTGTGCCAGTGCAGTGAGGTAAGTTGTTTCATCTGATAACATCTTACGGTTTTTCTCGGCCTCACGCCTCTGGGGTCTTGGATATCTATGTTTTCCTCTCTCCCTCATCTTCCTCCTTCTCTCCTCTTTGTCCTAGACAAGAGGGCTGCTTTTTAAAAATCTGACTTATCTCTTAGTAAAACTCTCGTAGGAGTAAAACTTAGATGTGCCTTCCATCCCTTCTGCTTCTACACTGATACCTCTAAAGGATCCTCCTGAAAATCTTAACTCCCCAGCTTCCTAAACACTGTCTTAGTTTGGGTAGCTCCTACGTCTATTCTTGACTTGCTGTGGGTGGCTGGGAGCAGTGGAACAGCAGATGTCACTTTGTCCAGTGGGTGACAAGTTGTCATCTTTCTGTCCCCATCCTACTTTAGCAGCCCCCAGAGGACAGTCAAGGCACTGTCTTGGAACCGGCAGCCCAACACATTCTGTCTTCTGCTCACCCCAGTGCAAGGCAGTTGTGTGATTCCAGGAAGAATGAACCTATCATCAAAGTCAGTGATCAAGGCAATAGGGTGAGTAGTGGAGGCCAGAACACAGGCTTGGGCTCTGGCTTTCCTCTCCTGCCTAGCAGTTAGAGCTGCTCTGCCCCAGGCCAGAGTCCTGCTTTCAGCTGTCAGACATGTGGAGTCAGCCACTTCTAGCACATTTCCTATTGAGAGTGAAAACTTAGGAAGCCAAACAAAGGATCTGGGAAGCTTCTACTGTCTTTCTTACTTATTCCTGGCCATCACTCTCTGATGCCTGTGGTGTCCCAGTCACAGAAGAGACACAAAACTTGCTCTCAGAGTGGTCCCATTTCAACTGGGCAAAAGAGTCAGGTTACAGCACCCATCGGGATATGCTTTGTTCGCAGATGCACTGCTCAGGCCTGGCCTGGCATCCTGACATAGCCACTCCAGCTAGTGCTGTGCTCAGAGGATGATCGGCTCTCCTGTGATTCAGCTGGATCTAGCTTTGCCTCTCCCTGCCCTGGAAGGTGCTGGAGAACCACAACAGGTAGCATCTCAGACGTCATCCATATCCTGAGGGGATGGTGACATAACTGGCTTGGGTAGAAGGCAATGTATGCCTCACTTTAGCTACTAAACATCCTTCCTGGCTTTGAAGCCATTCCGTGAACACATAGTCACCCAATACTAACTAGAGCCCTAACTAAGAGGAGGCCCGTAGACCCTGAGGTTATGGAGAGGAGGCTGAGATTCCATCTAAATTCCAAAGATGGGAATGGGGTCATGAGAAATACTGGAACCAGTGTTTAGTCTCCAGGCTCTGGTATGAGGCTAACGTCATTTCCTTAGGTGAGCGAGCTTTCTTCTCCAGGATTTCTTCATAAAAATAACTTGACTCCTATCCTGTGAACAGTCCTCCACAATCTGTTCTTTCTTTTCTTTCCTTTTTTTTTTTTTTTTTTTTGAGACGGAGTCTTGCTCTGTCCCCGGCGGCTGGAGTGCAGTGGCGTGATCTCAGCTTACCGCAACCTCCGCCACGGGTCAGGCCTTCTCCTGCCTCAGCCTCCCAAGTAGCTGGGACTACAGGCGCCCGCCACTAAAGCTGGCTAATTTTTTTTGTATTTTTATTAGAGACAGGGTTTCACCATGTTAGCCACGATGGTCTCAAACTCCTGACCTCGTGATCCGGCCGCCTCAGCCTCCCAAAGTGCTGGGATTACAGGCGTGAGCCATCGCGCCCAGCCCCACAATCTGTTCTTTCTAACCAAAGGACCATGCTGCCTTTATATATCCTTGGGGACTTCTATGCTTTAGACCTGTTTGCTTCTATCACCCAGGCTGGTGTGCAGTGGCGTGGATCAAGGTTTGCTGCACCCCAATTTCCTGGGCTCAAGTGGATCCTCCCCCCTCAGCCTCCCAAAGTGTGCTGGGATTAGTGGCATGAGCCACTGTGCCTGGCCTCCCTTGGGGACTTTTGATGGTTAGGTCTTTACTACTCCTGGCTGAAAACGCTCATAGGGATGAGTGTTTGTGTGATTCATAGTGGTTCATAATCTCTACTCTCTAATTAGTGAAAAGAAGCAGGCCATCCCAAGAGGATCTAAGAAAGGCAGAGTGGTGCAGTGCATAGTGCACAGGCTCTGAGGTTTGATTTGGGTTCTGACTCTGTAACTGTTGGAAAGTTACTAATTTTTTTCAAAACCTCATTTTTCTTAATTTGTAAGATAACATTGACCATGTATGTTATAGGGTATGATGAATGATATGCCCTATAAAATGTATCAAAGATTTATAAGGCAGTTTTTTACTCATAGTAGGCATTCAACAAATGCTAGATCCTCTTTCCTACCTTTTAGGGGATCTTGCCAGTGTCATGGAGCCAGGCTGATGCTGAACTGCTGTCACTTCAGTGCTAAGGACAGCCAGATCTTGTGCTCGAACGTGGAGAGCAGTGAGGTAGGCTGGCCCTTCTGTGGGCATGCTGGGATGGGAGAGAGAGGGTAGAAGTGAATCTCAGCCGCAGCCATGTGTTTTGGTGTCATGACTGTCCTAAAATGGTGTGTTCCCTAATATTAGGTGGTATATAAGCTACCAACACAGAGCAGCTGGTGCTTTGAAGTGCAGTGGTGCCTCGACCTTCAGTGTTCTCTGCCGCCTCCTTTGACGGCTGGATCAGTTTGTACTCTGTGATGGGTAGGAGCTGGGAAGTCCAGCACATGAGACTGGCTGACAAGGTTTGGAAGGGCTTGGGAGAGAATGCTGGAGGAAGGGGGCTGTCTCTGTTTGTGGAGAGAGACATATGGCCTGAGAAGCAGGACTATTGGAGATTGGGGGAGAACAGGGCCCAGGGTTTGGGAGGACTGCACCTTGTTCTGGTGCCCATCTTCCTGAAAGGATGTCAGTTTCTGCCACAGTGAAGAAGGCCTCACCTTGACTCTTGTTATTGGATGGGCCCTGTAATATTTCAGGGACAGTGGGACCCCTTTGCTGGGACAGTTATTTCAAGAGTATGACACTTATCTTCTCCTATAGATCCATTTTGTGCCACACTAATAGATTTTGAATGTAGAAGTCTTTCCAAGAGCCTACTTGCATGAGAGTCTCCACCTCACTACTACTTCTGCACATTTCCCATCCTTTGAATGGGAGTCTGACCTTTCTAGGTCAAATTGGGTGTTCCCAAGGATTCTCTCAAAATGGAGTTTGTAGGTGGAGGGCCTTGACTCCTAACTGCCACTTTGGGATGGTGATGCAGTGTGTCTTTTCCCCCAGATCTCCTCTTCCTTCAGCAAAGGCCAGCCTCCCACCTACTGCAGGTGCCAGAGCAAGTGGCACAAGCATCACTGATACCTCCCGAAAACCCCAAATGGATTAGAAGACCAACAGGTGTTTCATTTGCTGTAAGTGTAATGGATGTATAGGTGTGTGTGTGTGTGTGTGTGTGTGTGTGTGTGTAGCCTACTACAAAGCCCAGCATGGAGCTGTTTTGTAGAGACGTATTCCCACTGCCTCTGTCCTTACAGAATGGATCCTACTTACCTCTCAAGGAGAAAGTTACTATAGTTTCCCTCTCTTCACTTCACCCATTCTGTATTTTCTGCCAGTCCTGTCTAAAAGGAGTTGACTGCCTTAGAACTCTCGGCTGTGAGAAATAGCCTGAGATTCCATCTCAGTTTTCTAACTCATAGATATCTGGACTGGTAGTAAGGAACTACAAAGAAGGAAAGAAAAAACAGATTTTATTCTGTCATTTATCTGTTCAAAACCTTGAGCCTCCTATTGCTTTATAGACAAGGCTAAATGTGCACAGGGCTCCACTTACCTTTCCATTTCCATCTCATTCTCGTTTGTTCTCTATGCTCCAGTTACATATGACTCCTTTCTGTTTTGTAAATAATTCCTCAACTCTTCCTGCCTCTGCTTGTATCCTAACCTTCAGCTT